CAGACCCGTATCCAGTCCGCCTCCCCCCCCCACATTACCCCCTCCTGCCTCCGAACTCCTCCTGCCCCGGCCTGCCAGCACAGCAGCAGACACTCCCACTTCCTCCTCGTCTATATAATCCGCCATAAGCTCCTCCCTCTCGTCCTCGTCCTCCTCTCCCTCCCCTACCCCATCCCCATCCGCACTCAACCTGCCCCGAACTCCTGCTCCCCTCGCTGGGGCTTGGCTCCGGTCTCCTCGGCTCACTCTGTCTGACTCTGCTCGGCCTCCTGGCAGAATCCGCCCCTGTGGTTTCCCTGCTTGCCCTCTGCTGCTCCCATCTCCCCCTTCCCTCGTCCCTGCTGCTGCCCCTGATGCTGAGGTTGCAGCATCACCAGACCCAGCTCCTGCTCCCCCTTCCCTCGCCCCTGTCCCTCCGCCACTCCCGCTGCTGCTCCTTTCACCACTCTCCGCCCCCTCCCCTCCCTCCCTCCCCTCCGCTGCCTCCTCCTCCCCCGCCTCCACTGCTGCAAACGGGTTCCCTCGCTCCAGCCACTCTCGGAAATCCCTTCTCTCCTTCGCTCCCTCACCACCCGAGCTCACGCCCTCCACTGCCCCACTCTCTCTACTCCCTACTGAAGAGGAGGACGATGACTGGGTGGAGAGGACAAAGGAGGAGGCGGAGGAGGAGGAGGGGGCGGAGGAGGTGGTGAGGCTGATGAGTCGGAGCGTGTGGATCGTCTCTGGTGGTAGGCGCTGCCATGTCTCCCGTTCGAGAACCATCTTCAGTACCTGGCGGTGGTGGATGGATGCAATGGAAGCAAGTGATGGGAGAGAGGGGAGGGGAGAAGGTGGGGTGTGGGTTTAGGAACATTTGCCTGTTAAAGCCGTGCCTTGAGGTTCTTTCTGCCAGTGGAAGGTGTTGAAAAAGTCCTCCTTAACAGGTGCTGTTGAGAAGACCACTCTGATTCTCACCATTTCCGCCTCTCAGGCTTTCAGCCTGCAACAGCACCTGCCATGGATGAGTCGTGTTTTGAGTCGACTCAAGACCACAGTGGATGAGTCCCACCTTGAGGTTCTGGCGGTGGAAGGTGTTGAAGTACACCTCGCTCTGCTTCACCATCTTGGTTCGCAGCCCCGCCGCCTCCACCCCTGTGAACGCCTCGCCCACTGCTGCAAACTTGTCCACCCACTCCAAGCACTGGGGGGTGAGGGGGGATAGGAAATGAGAGTGAAACGAAAAGAAAGGAAAGGGAAAGGCAGGTGTGCTTATGCGTTCCCTCAGACAACAAACTTGTAAGCACCTGGAGGAACAGCTGGGAGAACCGTGAATAGAGCGCAGGCACGATTAGCAGCGCACCCACCCTGTGCGCTGCCAGCTTCCACACGGAAATCCCGGCCCGGTCATCATCTCATTGACCGTTCCCATCCCAACACCCTGCCCACAGGTTCTGTTCTGTTCTGTTCTGCCAGCGAGCAACGTTTTTGAGGCGCCTCAAAAACGACCTCAATGCACACAGGTTTTGTTCTGTTCTGTTCTGTTCTGCTCTGCTCTGCTCTGCCAGCGAGCAACGCACGCACCTGAAGAAACTGTTGCGACGATCCTGAGCAGAGCGCCGGCGCGGTGAGCAGCGCACCCACGCGGCGTGCCGCAAGCTCCCACACAGCCTTCCTATTCTTCTGCAGCGCGCGGCAGACAGCAGCCGTGGTGCTGACACGCATTTTGCGCGCCACGTTGGGCGGCAGATCCGCCAGCGACCCCTCTCTAAAGTCACTCCCCATCATCATCACATCGTCTGTTCTCAGTGCCATGTCCGCTCCCCCTCCACCACCCCGATTTCTGCTTCTATCATCTCCACCACCAACGCCGTGCTGCTGCTGCTGCTGCGGCTGCAGCGACAGCTGCTGCCGCAATGCCTTCTCCCAGAGCCCCTCCTCCTCTTCCCCCGCTGGCTGCTTCTGTCCCAGAAGGCCCTGCAGAGGGGATGGGAGGGCGGCCGTCTCTCACCAGCAGCAGCATCAGCAGCAGCAGCAGCAGCAGCAGCACCGGCGCTGCCCCATGCCTCGTTGTGCCCCTCACTTGACGACCGCCTCACCTGCCGCCTCTGCTGCTGCAACGCCGCATGCCCACGCTGCTGCTGCGCCTCTGCGCCTGTCCCACCAGCGCCCTCACTCCCGCCTTTTCTCTCCCCATCTTGCGCCTTCCCTGGTTCAGCCCCTTTGTCCCTCTCACTATATCCCTCCTCAATCTTCTCCTGCAGCTGCTCACCGCCCCCAGGGATCTCAATCACCAGGCTGTGGCTCCTCCGCCTTGCATGCAGCCCCTCTCGCGACTCACCTGGTGCCCTGCCCTCACCACCTGCTGCTGCGCCCTCAGAAGAAGCTGCAGCTCCGTTTCCTTCACCAGCACTCGCACCACCAGCAGCACTAGCAGGGCCACCAGCAGCATCACCAGCAGCAGCAGCAGCGCTACCAGTAGAAGCAGAGACGGAGGAGGAGCGGGGCAGGCCATTGGGTGGAGCGGGGATGCGGGCGAGTTGGGGGAGGTCGGAGGCGGAGCTGGAAGCAGAGACAGGCGCAGAGGCACACGTGGGGTCCGATGCTGCCATGCGGGGAAAGCGGTCCATTGACATGGTGTTGGGGCGCTGGTGGGTGGGATGAGGGCGGGGGAGGGGAAGGGTGAAATAAAAGGTAGGCGTGGACAGAGAGGCATACGTGGGGTCCGGTGCTGCCATGCCGGAGGGGGAGCGGTCCATTGACATGGTGTTGGGGCGGTGGGGAGAGGGGAAGGGGAAGGGAAAAGGGGGAATAAAGGTTAGATGTGCACAGAGGGGCACACATGGGATCTGGTGCTGCCATGCCGGGGGGGGAGCGGTCCATTGACATGGTGTTGGGGCGCTGGGGGAGGGATGAGAGGGGAGACGGTGGGGTTGAGGGAGGGAGGAGGGAAGAGGGTGGTGTAAAAGGGGGAGTCAAAGGGAGATATTCACGGGGACACGGGGACACGGGGACACGGGGTCTGAAGCTGCCATGCACGTGAAGCGGTCGATGGACATGGTATTGGGGTGCTGGGGGGTGGGTGGGTGGGAGGGAGTGGATGAAAAGGTACAGTACGGCCCTGCAATGCAGTGCAAGCTGTTCGTTCCATTGACATGGTGTTGGGGGCGCTGGGGTGGGTGGGAGGGGGAATGGGGGAATGGTGGAATGGAGTGAGGACGACAGGTTGGGGAAGGGGAAAGGAAGGTGGAGATGGAGGGATGGGAGAAGGCGAATAGAATCAGGTGCAGCGTGCAGGGGAAAAGGTTCATTAATCATGTGTTGGGGGCACTGGGGGAAAACATATGAAAGCACACATGGCAGCACACATGGCACACATGGCAGCACACATAGCACATATGGCAGCACACATGGCACATATGGCAGCACACATGGCACATATGGCAGCACACATGGCAGCACACAAAGGGTCGGAGAGCATGCAGAGCAAGTGAAGGTTGGGTTGGAGGATACACGGAGGATGGCCTTACTCTGACATAGGGGTGACGCCATGTCATCATGTGGTGGTGTGATGAGAACAAGTCAAACAGCACACGCAGAGTGCGCAGCAGGCACAGACGAAACACGCCATCCGGCAGCTCGACACACAGCTCACTGTAGGCCAGCCTGTGAGGGGTAGCAAATGTACAGCAGGCAGGAAGAACAAAAAGACAAAGGAGGAACGCCGTGTTGCTTTCCAGCACCAAAACAGAGGAGGACGTAACGGAGGAGGGCGTAACAGAGGAGGGCGTAACAGAGGAGGACGTAACAGAGGAGGACGTAACAGAGGAGGAGAACGTAACAGAGGAGGACGTAACAGAGGAAGAGAATGTAACTGAGGAGGAGGACGTAACAGAGGGGGAGGACGTAACAGAGGGGGAGGAGGACGTAACAGAGGAAGAGGACGTAACAGAGGGGGAGGACGTAACAGAGGGGGAGGACGTAACAGAGGAGGGACACAAGGACAAAGTAGAAACACACAGAGAACAAAACAAGCAAGCTGCCCTGTCTACTCCTCGTCATACAAAAAAAAAGAACTCGAGTGCATGACGTGACATACACCATCCTTGCTCCCCCACGCGGTCTCACCTGCTTCTGTGCCCGTCATCTTCCCCCATCGCCTGCACGCCAAGCAAGAGCAAAGCAGAGAGCACATAGTGGGGTTGAGAGAGTACAAGAGCGGACAACAGAACAGACATCCCACCAGCGGGCACAGAACTCGAGAGTGGTGCTGCTCAGGTAGCCAGGGAGGAGGGCAGCAGTCACGTGTAGAAAGTGTATTTTTGAGACGTCTCAAAAATACACTTTTTACTCGAGAGTGGTGCTGCTCAGGTAGCCAGGGAGAAGGGTAGCAGTCTGTTCTGTGTGACGGGTGTGTGTGTGCGTGTGCGTGCGAAGGTGTCCGCAGAGCAGACTGGGTGTTGTGGCTTTGAGACATGCTGAGCTGAGGTCGAAACGGCCAGAGATGTAATCCAAAGTTGAAATGGAATGCACCGTACTGTAATGCATGCAGGCACACCTGCGCCTGCGTCAGTCAGTGACTTTTGAGACGTCTCAAAAGTCAGTGACTTTTGAGACGTCTGAAATGGAATGCACCGTAATGAAATGTAATGCATGCAGGCACACCTGCACCTGCGCCAGGCAGTGCAGTGCAATGCAGTGCAGCAGAGCGTGCCAAAGCCAAAGGTGTGCGCAGTGCACGCACGTGACCGTGAATGAATGCAAGCAACGCATCTGCGTTCTCTCAAGGAACTCTCCAGGAAGCGCAGAAAGAAGCGTGTCCTACACACTAGTTTTGAGTCGACTCAGAAATACGTACGCACTTCGCAAAAGTGTCGCTGAGGTCTGAGACATTTCAACACAACACAATTCTTGCCCACTTCTGAGACATCTCAAAAGTCATTTCAACACAACACGATTCTTGCCCACTTTTGAGACATCTCAAAAGTCATTTCAACACAACACGATTCTTGCCCACTTTTGAGACATCTCAAAAGTCATTTCAACACAACACGATTCTTGCCCACTTTTGAGACGTCTCAAAAGTCATTTCAACACAACACGATTCTTGCCCACTTTTGAGACATCTCAAAAGTCATTTCAACACAACACGATTCTTGCCCACTTTTGAGTCATCTCAAAAGTCATTTCAACACAACACGATTCTTGCCCACTTTTGAGACATCTCAAAAGTCATTTCAACACAACACGATTCTTGCCCAATTTTGAGACGTCTCAAAAGTCATTTCAACACAACACGATTCTTGCCCACTTTTGAGACATCTCAAAAGTCATTTCAGCACAACACGATTCTTGCCCACTTTTGAGACATCTCAAAAGTCATTTCAGCACAACACGATTCTTGCCCACTTTTGAGACATCTCAAAAGTCATTTCAACACAACACTATTCTTGCCCACTTTTGAGACATCTCAAAAGTCATTTCAGCACAACACGATTCTTGCCCACTTTTGAGACATCTCAAAAGACATTTCAACACAACACGATTCTTGCCCACTTTTGAGACATCTCAAAAGACATTTTAACACAACACGATTCTTGCCCACTTTTGAGACATCTCAAAAGTCATTTCAACACAACACGATTCTTGCCCACTTTTGAGACATCTCAAAAGTCATTTCAACACAACACGATTCTTGCCCACTTTTGAGACATCTCAAAAGACATTTCAACACAACACGATTCTTGCCCACTTTTGAGACATCTCAAAAGTCATTTCAACACAACACGATTCTTGCCCACTTCTGAGACATCTCAAAAGTCATTTCAACACAACACGATTCTTGCCCACTTTCGAGACATCTCAAAAGTCATTTCAACACAACACGATTCTTGCCCACAGAATGCCGAGCAAGCAGCGTACCTGCTCGAGGAACTGCAGCAGTGTGTCGTAGGTGCAGGTGACAACCAACCGGGAGAACTGGCTCTTGGGTCGACTCAAACGGCAATGGCTGGCATGTGGAGTAACGTACGTACCTGCTCGAGGAACTGCAGCAGCGTGTCGTAGGTGCAGGTGACAACAGACTGCGCAAAGAAGTTCTGCACCTTGTCTGCCAGCGTGGCCGCATCGTCCATCACTGCATACGCGTCGATCACCTGAGACAAACGGGTGGAGAAGAGAGGAGAGAGGGATGCGGGAACGGGAGGGAGGACAGGCACGGCGGCACGAGAAGGGAAGGTCAGGAAACAGAGACAGACTGGGTCGCTGAGCCTTATCTGCCAGCATGGCTGCATCAACCATCACTGCAAGCGCATCGATCACCTGAGGGATGGCAAGCGGGGAAATCGGAGCAGTAATAGTCACTTACTTGTCATCGATGCAGCCTTACCTGTCATCGATGCAGCCTTACCTGTCATCGATGCAGCCTTACCTGTCATCGATGCAGCCTTACCTGTCATCGATGCAGGCAGCGGCATTAGCGAATATGACATGATAATTGGAGGTACTTCAGGCGGCCATCATATCTATGGAGCACCGAGTGATGCATATGTGGCTACCACCTGCTGGGAAGTTCCTCAGAATATGTATTGCAGGTTTGATACGGGCATGTGTGAAAACCCAACAAAAAAGACACAACGAACCTTTATAGCATATGAAAGTTGACATTTTGGAAGGGCTTGAGTGACTCACAACGGCATAAGAAGGAGAGTCGAAGGACTTGCAGACAGTGAAGAGCAGAGCATCTACATGGTCCACCACCTGGGTGAGCCACTCCTGTTGGAAGAGAGGAAGTGGAGGGAGGAGCGGTGGGGAGGCACAGCGCGGTACACAGCCGGGTTGGATACCCACACAGTGGGGTACAGGGAACGGAAGGACTTGCAGACAGTGAAGAGGAGAGCATTCACATGGTCCACGACTCGGGTGAGCCACTCCTGGTGGGTGAGGGAAGGGGTGGAGGGAATCGAGACACCGGAGAATTCACAGGAACTGAAGCAGGTCCGTATCTCGCACTCCTGCCAGCTGGACGTTCTGCTGGACGAGCGCCCGCCAGGTCAAGGTCATGGACGCAGCTCAAGAGCAACAGCAGCAGCACTCATGTGCCTCACCCCCGTCACTCCCACTCCCATTCCCCTCCTCCACCACCCCAAACTGCTGCTCACCTCGATGCTGATGTTCATGTCTCGTATGGCCGCCAGTTGTGCGTTTTGTTCGATGAGCACGAGGCAGTGCGAGCAGAGGCGCAAGGCACGGGCGAAGTCGCCCTCGTCGATGCACGCGTCCATGCGCCCCCTCACGTCCACCACCTGCTGCATGCGCATCAGCACTGGTAGCATGCTCTGGTGGGGGAGAGAGAGAGAGAGTGTGGGAGAGGGGGTTTGGGGAGGGAGGATGGATTGAAAGAAGGCACGTCCACCACCTGCTGCATGCGCATCAGCACTGGTAGCATGCTCTGGTGGGGGGGGAGGGGGTTCGGTGAGGACGGATGGATGGATGGGTTGAAAGACATAATGCACATCCACCACCTGTTGCAACTTGCACGCGCATCAGCACTGAGCTGTCTGTGAGACAGCATGCGCACAGGCAGCATCCCCTTTGTGAAAACGCGAAAGAGCGGATGGGTGATGAGCAGAGCATCACAAGGGAGCTGCAGTGAGCCGAGCAGCTTTTGAGTAAACTAAACTGGCGAGCATCAGACTATGGCAAAGATGAGAAGAGGTCAACTTAGGGTTAGCAAGCATAGATGACAGATGCAGTCAGCTCAGGTGAAAGGAGGGGAGTCGGGCAGCGCAGCACTGACAGTGAGCATTTTCTTCTTGTTGACACTGGCAGCCACCACCAGGTCGCTCGCAACCTCCTCCATCGCCTTGTTTAGATGCCGCCGCGCATTCTGCACTCACACGTTTTGGTGGGAGGGAGAGGAGGGGGGTTGAGGGGTTGAGGTGGAGACAGGTTGACATGTGTAAGCACCCCCTTTCCTACCAAAGTTATGCATTCAGCAAACGTCTGCCATGCCCTCCCACAGAATCACCTGGCATCGTCTGCCATCCCCATGGGACAACACAACACCATGCCACCATGCAATGCCATGCCATGCAGTGCCATATCATATCATGGCATGCCATCATACCAGACAGGTGACAGACACTACCATGCCATGCCATGCAGTGCCATATCATATCATGGCATGCCATGCCATGCAGTGCCATATCATATCATGGCATGCCATCATACCCGGCAGATGACAGACACCACCCGCAGCTCTCGGTCCAGCTCCCCCACCAGCTGCATTCCTTGCACTGCCACACAGCACAGCACAGCACAGCACAGCACCGCACAGCACAGCACAGCGAGAGAGACAGACAGACAGGTTTGCAAGGGAGGTTTGAGAGACAGGAGTGCTTGAATGGGTGCTTAGAAAGGGTGTTATGGATGGTAGTTTATGGATGTGTCGGTCGGTTCAGTCATGACCTGCATCAGCAGCAGCACACCCACTATGGAACAAGGATAGCGGACCGCCATCAGCACCGAAGTTCCAAACCACCATCAGCAAGCAATCCCCTCACACGGGCAAGCATGCACGCACCCATCTCCTGGTGGTGGTTCATGACCAGCGTGGCCAGCTGCTCCGTGATCACGTCCAGCTGCAGCAGCCCGGATGGCAGGCTCCATCCATAGAATCATGTCTGAACAGCACGCACCCATCATCATCATCACCCACGTGCACCACACAACACCCCCACACACCCATTTTCTGGTGGTGGTTCATGACCTGCGTGGCCAGCTGCTCCGTGATCACGTCCAGCCAGCTGCAGCACGGATGGAAGGCAGTCCATACCATCATGTCTGAAAGGCACGCACCCGTCACCACCCACACACACACCCCACCACCTGCATGCACCCCTCTCCACCCCTGCGCACCCATCTCCTGGAGGTGGTTCATGACCTGCGTGGCCAGCTGCTCCGTGGTCACGTCCAGCTGCAGCAGCCCAGATGGCAGGCTCCATCCATAGAATCATGTCTGAACAGCACGCGCCCATCATCACCCACACGCACTCATCATCACCCACATGCACTGCACACCATCCCCACGCACCCATTTTCTGGTGGTGGTTCATGACCTGCGTGGCCAGCTGCTCCGTGATCACGTCCAGCTGCAGCAGCCGCCGCCCACTGTGCATGCCCAGCTGCTGCAGCGCCAACGTGTCACTCGGTAGTTGCTCCAGCTCCGCCCTCACTGCGTCAAACGACTGGGAAAAGAGTGTGGAAGGGAGGGAAGGGAGGCAAGGGGAAGAGAGAATAATAACTTGAGTCCCAGCTGCTGCAGCGCTACCGTGTCCTGCGGTAGTTGCTCCAGCTCCGCCCTCACTGCGTCAAACGACTGGGAAAAGAGTGTGGAAGGGAGGGAAGGGAGGCAAGGGGAAGAGAGAATAATCATTTGAGTCCCAGCTGCTGCAGCGCTACCGTGTCCTGCGGTAGTTGCTCCAGCTCCGCCCTCACTGCGTCAAACGACTGGGAAAAGAGTGTGGAAGGGAGGGAAGGGAGGCAAGGGGAAGAGAGAATAATCATTTGAGTCCCAGCTGCTGCAGCGCTACCGTGTCCTGCGGTAGTTGCTCCAGCTCCGCCCTCACTGCGTCAAACGACTGGGAAAAGAGTGTGGAAGGGAGGGAAGGGAGGCAAGGGGAAGAGAGAATAATCATTTGAGTCCCAGCTGCTGCAGCGCTACCGTGTCCTGCGGTAGTTGCTCCAGCTCCGCCCTCACTGCGTCAAACGACTGGGAAAAGAGTGTGGAAGGGAGGGAAGGGAGGCAAGGGGAAGAGAGAATAATCATTTGAGTCCCAGCTGCTGCAGCGCTACCGTGTCCTGCGGTAGTTGCTCCAGCTCCGCCCTCACTGCGTCAAACGACTGGGAAAAGAGTGTGGAAGGGAGGGAAGGGAGGCAAGGGGAAGAGAGAATAATCATTTGAGTCCCAGCTGCTGCAGCGCTACCGTGTCCTGCGGTAGTTGCTCCAGCTCCGCCCTCACTGCGTCAAACGACTGGGAAAAGAGTGTGGAAGGGAGGGAAGGGAGGCAAGGGGAAGAGAGAATAATCATTTGAGTCCCAGCTGCTGCAGCGCTACCGTGTCCTGCGGTAGTTGCTCCAGCTCCGCCCTCACTGCGTCAAACGACTGGGAAAAGAGTGTGGAAGGGAGGGAAGGGAGGCAAGGGGAAGAGAGAATAATCATTTGAGTCCCAGCTGCTGCAGCGCTACCGTGTCCTGCGGTAGTTGCTCCAGCTCCGCCCTCACTGCGTCAAACGACTGGGAAAAGAGTGTGGAAGGGAGGGAAGGGAGGCAAGGGGAAGAGAGAATAATCATTTGAGTCCCAGCTGCTGCAGCGCCAACGTGTCACTCGGTAGTTGCTCCAGCTCCGCCCTCACTGCGTCAAACGACTGGGAAAAGAGTGTGGAAGGGAGGGAAGGGAGGCAAGGGGAAGAGAGAATAATCATTTGAGTCCCAGCTGCTGCAGCGCTACCGTGTCCTGCGGTAGTTGCTCCAGCTCCGCCCTCACTGCGTCAAACGACTGGGAAAAGAGTGTGGAAGGGAGGGAAGGGAGGCAAGGGGAAGAGAGAATAATCATTTGAGTCCCAGCTGCTGCAGCGCTACCGTGTCCTGCGGTAGTTGCTCCAGCTCCGCCCTCACTGCGTCAAACGACTGGGAAAAGAGTGTGGAAGGGAGGGAAGGGAGGCAAGGGGAAGAGAGAATAATCATTTGAGTCCCAGCTGCTGCAGCGCTACCGTGTCCTGCGGTAGTTGCTCCAGCTCCGCCCTCACTGCGTCAAACGACTGGGAAAAGAGTGTGGAAGGGAGGGAAGGGAGGCAAGGGGAAGAGAGAATAATCATTTGAGTCCCAGCTGCTGCAGCGCTACCGTGTCCTGCGGTAGTTGCTCCAGCTCCGCCCTCACTGCGTCAAACGACTGGGAAAAGAGTGTGGAAGGGAGGGAAGGGAGGCAAGGGGAAGAGAGAATAATCATTTGAGTCCCAGCTGCTGCAGCGCTACCGTGTCCTGCGGTAGTTGCTCCAGCTCCGCCCTCACTGCGTCAAACGACTGGGAAAAGAGTGTGGAAGGGAGGGAAGGGAGGCAAGGGGAAGAGAGAATAATCATTTGAGTCCCAGCTGCTGCAGCGCTACCGTGTCCTGCGGTAGTTGCTCCAGCTCCGCCCTCACTGCGTCAAACGACTGGGAAAAGAGTGTGGAAGGGAGGGAAGGGAGGCAAGGGGAAGAGAGAATAATCATTTGAGTCCCAGCTGCTGCAGCGCTACCGTGTCCTGCGGTAGTTGCTCCAGCTCCGCCCTCACTGCGTCAAACGACTGGGAAAAGAGTGTGGAAGGGAGGGAAGGGAGGCAAGGGGAAGAGAGAATAATCATTTGAGTCCCAGCTGCTGCAGCGCTACCGTGTCCTGCGGTAGTTGCTCCAGCTCCGCCCTCACTGCGTCAAACGACTGGGAAAAGAGTGTGGAAGGGAGGGAAGGGAGGCAAGGGGAAGAGAGAATAATCATTTGAGTCCCAGCTGCTGCAGCGCTACCGTGTCCTGCGGTAGTTGCTCCAGCTCCGCCCTCACTGCGTCAAACGACTGGGAAAAGAGTGTGGAAGGGAGGGAAGGGAGGCAAGGGGAAGAGAGAATAATCATTTGAGTCCCAGCTGCTGCAGCGCTACCGTGTCCTGCGGTAGTTGCTCCAGCTCCGCCCTCACTGCGTCAAACGACTGGGAAAAGAGTGTGGAAGGGAGGGAAGGGAGGCAAGGGGAAGAGAGAATAATCATTTGAGTCCCAGCTGCTGCAGCGCTACCGTGTCCTGCGGTAGTTGCTCCAGCTCCGCCCTCACTGCGTCAAACGACTGGGAAAAGAGTGTGGAAGGGAGGGAAGGGAGGCAAGGGGAAGAGAGAATAATCATTTGAGTCCCAGCTGCTGCAGCGCTACCGTGTCCTGCGGTAGTTGCTCCAGCTCCGCCCTCACTGCGTCAAACGACTGGGAAAAGAGTGTGGAAGGGAGGGAAGGGAGGCAAGGGGAAGAGAGAATAATCATTTGAGTCCCAGCTGCTGCAGCGCTACCGTGTCCTGCGGTAGTTGCTCCAGCTCCGCCCTCACTGCGTCAAACGACTGGGAAAAGAGTGTGGAAGGGAGGGAAGGGAGGCAAGGGGAAGAGAGAATAATCATTTGAGTCCCAGCTGCTGCAGCGCTACCGTGTCCTGCGGTAGTTGCTCCAGCTCCGCCCTCACTGCGTCAAACGACTGGGAAAAGAGTGTGGAAGGGAGGGAAGGGAGGCAAGGGGAAGAGAGAATAATCATTTGAGTCCCAGCTGCTGCAGCGCTACCGTGTCCTGCGGTAGTTGCTCCAGCTCCGCCCTCACTGCGTCAAACGACTGGGAAAAGAGTGTGGAAGGGAGGGAAGGGAGGCAAGGGGAAGAGAGAATAATCATTTGAGTCCCAGCTGCTGCAGCGCTACCGTGTCCTGCGGTAGTTGCTCCAGCTCCGCCCTCACTGCGTCAAACGACTGGGAAAAGAGTGTGGAAGGGAGGGAAGGGAGGCAAGGGGAAGAGAGAATAATCATTTGAGTCCCAGCTGCTGCAGCGCTACCGTGTCCTGCGGTAGTTGCTCCAGCTCCGCCCTCACTGCGTCAAACGACTGGGAAAAGAGTGTGGAAGGGAGGGAAGGGAGGCAAGGGGAAGAGAGAATAATCATTTGAGTCCCAGCTGCTGCAGCGCTACCGTGTCCTGCGGTAGTTGCTCCAGCTCCGCCCTCACTGCGTCAAACGACTGGGAAAAGAGTGTGGAAGGGAGGGAAGGGAGGCAAGGGGAAGAGAGAATAATCATTTGAGTCCCAGCTGCTGCAGCGCTACCGTGTCCTGCGGTAGTTGCTCCAGCTCCGCCCTCACTGCGTCAAACGACTGGGAAAAGAGTGTGGAAGGGAGGGAAGGGAGGCAAGGGGAAGAGAGAATAATAACTTGAGTCCCAGCTGCTGCAGCGCTACCGTGTCCTGCGGTAGTTGCTCCAGCTCCGCCCTCACTGCGTCAAACGACTGGGAAAAGAGTGTGGAAGGGAGGGAAGGGAGGCAAGGGGAAGAGAGAATAATCATTTGAGTCCCAGCTGCTGCAGCGCTACCGTGTCCTGCGGTAGTTGCTCCAGCTCCGCCCTCACTGCGTCAAACGACTGGGAAAAGAGTGTGGAAGGGAGGGAAGGGAGGCAAGGGGAAGAGAGAATAATCATTTGAGTCCCAGCTGCTGCAGCGCTACCGTGTCCTGCGGTAGTTGCTCCAGCTCCGCCCTCACTGCGTCAAACGACTGGGAAAAGAGTGTGGAAGGGAGGGAAGGGAGGCAAGGGGAAGAGAGAATAATCATTTGAGTCCCAGCTGCTGCAGCGCTACCGTGTCCTGCGGTAGTTGCTCCAGCTCCGCCCTCACTGCGTCAAACGACTGGGAAAAGAGTGTGGAAGGGAGGGAAGGGAGGCAAGGGGAAGAGAGAATAATCATTTGAGTCCCAGCTGCTGCAGCGCTACCGTGTCCTGCGGTAGTTGCTCCAGCTCCGCCCTCACTGCGTCAAACGACTGGGAAAAGAGTGTGGAAGGGAGGGAAGGGAGGCAAGGGGAAGAGAGAATAATCATTTGAGTCCCAGCTGCTGCAGCGCTACCGTGTCCTGCGGTAGTTGCTCCAGCTCCGCCCTCACTGCGTCAAACGACTGGGAAAAGAGTGTGGAAGGGAGGGAAGGGAGGCAAGGGGAAGAGAGAATAATCATTTGAGTCCCAGCTGCTGCAGCGCTACCGTGTCCTGCGGTAGTTGCTCCAGCTCCGCCCTCACTGCGTCAAACGACTGGGAAAAGAGTGTGGAAGGGAGGGAAGGGAGGCAAGGGGAAGAGAGAATAATCATTTGAGTCCCAGCTGCTGCAGCGCTACCGTGTCCTGCGGTAGTTGCTCCAGCTCCGCCCTCACTGCGTCAAACGACTGGGAAAAGAGTGTGGAAGGGAGGGAAGGGAGGCAAGGGGAAGAGAGAATAATCATTTGAGTCCCAGCTGCTGCAGCGCTACCGTGTCCTGCGGTAGTTGCTCCAGCTCCGCCCTCACTGCGTCAAACGACTGGGAAAAGAGTGTGGAAGGGAGGGAAGGGAGGCAAGGGGAAGAGAGAATAATCATTTGAGTCCCAGCTGCTGCAGCGCTACCGTGTCCTGCGGTAGTTGCTCCAGCTCCGCCCTCACTGCGTCAAACGACTGGGAAAAGAGTGTGGAAGGGAGGGAAGGGAGGCAAGGGGAAGAGAGAATAATCATTTGAGTCCCAGCTGCTGCAGCGCTACCGTGTCCTGCGGTAGTTGCTCCAGCTCCGCCCTCACTGCGTCAAACGACTGGGAAAAGAGTGTGGAAGGGAGGGAAGGGAGGCAAGGGGAAGAGAGAATAATCATTTGAGTCCCAGCTGCTGCAGCGCTACCGTGTCCTGCGGTAGTTGCTCCAGCTCCGCCCTCACTGCGTCAAACGACTGGGAAAAGAGTGTGGAAGGGAGGGAAGGGAGGCAAGGGGAAGAGAGAATAATCATTTGAGTCCCAGCTGCTGCAGCGCTACCGTGTCCTGCGGTAGTTGCTCCAGCTCCGCCCTCACTGCGTCAAACGACTGGGAAAAGAGTGTGGAAGGGAGGGAAGGGAGGCAAGGGGAAGAGAGAATAATCATTTGAGTCCCAGCTGCTGCAGCGCTACCGTGTCCTGCGGTAGTTGCTCCAGCTCCGCCCTCACTGCGTCAAACGACTGGGAAAAGAGTGTGGAAGGGAGGGAAGGGAGGCAAGGGGAAGAGAGAATAATCATTTGAGTCCCAGCTGCTGCAGCGCTACCGTGTCCTGCGGTAGTTGCTCCAGCTCCGCCCTCACTGCGTCAAACGACTGGGAAAAGAGTGTGGAAGGGAGGGAAGGGAGGCAAGGGGAAGAGAGAATAATCATTTGAGTCCCAGCTGCTGCAGCGCTACCGTGTCCTGCGGTAGTTGCTCCAGCTCCGCCCTCACTGCGTCAAACGACTGGGAAAAGAGTGTGGAAGGGAGGGAAGGGAGGCAAGGGGAAGAGAGAATAATCATTTGAGTCCCAGCTGCTGCAGCGCTACCGTGTCCTGCGGTAGTTGCTCCAGCTCCGCCCTCACTGCGTCAAACGACTGGGAAAAGAGTGTGGAAGGGAGGGAAGGGAGGCAAGGGGAAGAGAGAATAATCATTTGAGTCCCAGCTGCTGCAGCGCTACCGTGTCCTGCGGTAGTTGCTCCAGCTCCGCCCTCACTGCGTCAAACGACTGGGAAAAGAGTGTGGAAGGGAGGGAAGGGAGGCAAGGGGAAGAGAGAATAATCATTTGAGTCCCAGCTGCTGCAGCGCTACCGTGTCCTGCGGTAGTTGCTCCAGCTCCGCCCTCACTGCGTCAAACGACTGGGAAAAGAGTGTGGAAGGGAGGGAAGGGAGGCAAGGGGAAGAGAGAATAATCATTTGAGTCCCAGCTGCTGCAGCGCTACCGTGTCCTGCGGTAGTTGCTCCAGCTCCGCCCTCACTGCGTCAAACGACTGGGAAAAGAGTGTGGAAGGGAGGGAAGGGAGGCAAGGGGAAGAGAGAATAATCATTTGAGTCCCAGCTGCTGCAGCGCTACCGTGTCCTGCGGTAGTTGCTCCAGCTCCGCCCTCACTGCGTCAAACGACTGGGAAAAGAGTGTGGAAGGGAGGGAAGGGAGGCAAGGGGAAGAGAGAATAATCATTTGAGTCCCAGCTGCTGCAGCGCTACCGTGTCCTGCGGTAGTTGCTCCAGCTCCGCCCTCACTGCGTCAAACGACTGGGAAAAGAGTGTGGAAGGGAGGGAAGGGAGGCAAGGGGAAGAGAGAATAATCATTTGAGTCCCAGCTGCTGCAGCGCTACCGTGTCCTGCGGTAGTTGCTCCAGCTCCGCCCTCACTGCGTCAAACGACTGGGAAAAGAGTGTGGAAGGGAGGGAAGGGAGGCAAGGGGAAGAGAGAATAATCATTTGAGTCCCAGCTGCTGCAGCGCTACCGTGTCCTGCGGTAGTTGCTCCAGCTCCGCCCTCACTGCGTCAAACGACTGGGAAAAGAGTGTGGAAGGGAGGGAAGGGAGGCAAGGGGAAGAGAGAATAATCATTTGAGTCCCAGCTGCTGCAGCGCTACCGTGTCCTGCGGTAGTTGCTCCAGCTCCGCCCTCACTGCGTCAAACGACTGGGAAAAGAGTGTGGAAGGGAGGGAAGGGAGGCAAGGGGAAGAGAGAATAATCATTTGAGTCCCAGCTGCTGCAGCGCTACCGTGTCCTGCGGTAGTTGCTCCAGCTCCGCCCTCACTGCGTCAAACGACTGGGAAAAGAGTGTGGAAGGGAGGGAAGGGAGGCAAGGGGAAGAGAGAATAATCATTTGAGTCCCAGCTGCTGCAGCGCTACCGTGTCCTGCGGTAGTTGCTCCAGCTCCGCCCTCACTGCGTCAAACGACTGGGAAAAGAGTGTGGAAGGGAGGGAAGGGAGGCAAGGGGAAGAGAGAATAATCATTTGAGTCCCAGCTGCTGCAGCGCTACCGTGTCCTGCGGTAGTTGCTCCAGCTCCGCCCTCACTGCGTCAAACGACTGGGAAAAGAGTGTGGAAGGGAGGGAAGGGAGGCAAGGGGAAGAGAGAATAATCATTTGAGTCCCAGCTGCTGCAGCGCTACCGTGTCCTGCGGTAGTTGCTCCAGCTCCGCCCTCACTGCGTCAAACGACTGGGAAAAGAGTGTGGAAGGGAGGGAAGGGAGGCAAGGGGAAGAGAGAATAATCATTTGAGTCCCAGCTGCTGCAGCGCTACCGTGTCCTGCGGTAGTTGCTCCAGCTCCGCCCTCACTGCGTCAAACGACTGGGAAAAGAGTGTGGAAGGGAGGGAAGGGAGGCAAGGGGAAGAGAGAATAATCATTTGAGTCCCAGCTGCTGCAGCGCTACCGTGTCCTGCGGTAGTTGCTCCAGCTCCGCCCTCACTGCGTCAAACGACTGGGAAAAGAGTGTGGAAGGGAGGGAAGGGAGGCAAGGGGAAGAGAGAATAATCATTTGAGTCCCAGCTGCTGCAGCGCTACCGTGTCCTGCGGTAGTTGCTCCAGCTCCGCCCTCACTGCGTCAAACGACTGGGAAAAGAGTGTGGAAGGGAGGGAAGGGAGGCAAGGGGAAGAGAGAATAATCATTTGAGTCCCAGCTGCTGCAGCGCTACCGTGTCCTGCGGTAGTTGCTCCAGCTCCGCCCTCACTGCGTCAAACGACTGGGAAAAGAGTGTGGAAGGGAGGGAAGGGAGGCAAGGGGAAGAGAGAATAATCATTTGAGTCCCAGCTGCTGCAGCGCTACCGTGTCCTGCGGTAGTTGCTCCAGCTCCGCCCTCACTGCGTCAAACGACTGGGAAAAGAGTGTGGAAGGGAGGGAAGGGAGGCAAGGGGAAGAGAGAATAATCATTTGAGTCCCAGCTGCTGCAGCGCTACCGTGTCCTGCGGTAGTTGCTCCAGCTCCGCCCTCACTGCGTCAAACGACTGGGAAAAGAGTGTGGAAGGGAGGGAAGGGAGGCAAGGGGAAGAGAGAATAATCATTTGAGTCCCAGCTGCTGCAGCGCTACCGTGTCCTGCGGTAGTTGCTCCAGCTCCGCCCTCACTGCGTCAAACGACTGGGAAAAGAGTGTGGAAGGGAGGGAAGGGAGGCAAGGGGAAGAGAGAATAATCATTTGAGTCCCAGCTGCTGCAGCGCTACCGTGTCCTGCGGTAGTTGCTCCAGCTCCGCCCTCACTGCGTCAAACGACTGGGAAAAGAGTGTGGAAGGGAGGGAAGGGAGGCAAGGGGAAGAGAGAATAATCATTTGAGTCCCAGCTGCTGCAGCGCTACCGTGTCCTGCGGTAGTTGCTCCAGCTCCGCCCTCACTGCGTCAAACGACTGGGAAAAGAGTGTGGAAGGGAGGGAAGGGAGGCAAGGGGAAGAGAGAATAATCATTTGAGTCCCAGCTGCTGCAGCGCTACCGTGTCCTGCGGTAGTTGCTCCAGCTCCGCCCTCACTGCGTCAAACGACTGGGAAAAGAGTGTGGAAGGGAGGGAAGGGAGGCAAGGGGAAGAGAGAATAATCATTTGAGTCCCAGCTGCTGCAGCGCTACCGTGTCCTGCGGTAGTTGCTCCAGCTCCGCCCTCACTGCGTCAAACGACTGGGAAAAGAGTGTGGAAGGGAGGGAAGGGAGGCAAGGGGAAGAGAGAATAATCATTTGAGTCCCAGCTGCTGCAGCGCTACCGTGTCCTGCGGTAGTTGCTCCAGCTCCGCCCTCACTGCGTCAAACGACTGGGAAAAGAGTGTGGAAGGGAGGGAAGGGAGGCAAGGGGAAGAGAGAATAATCATTTGAGTCCCAGCTGCTGCAGCGCTACCGTGTCCTGCGGTAGTTGCTCCAGCTCCGCCCTCACTGCGTCAAACGACTGGGAAAAGAGTGTGGAAGGGAGGGAAGGGAGGCAAGGGGAAGAGAGAATAATCATTTGAGTCCCAGCTGCTGCAGCGCTACCGTGTCCTGCGGTAGTTGCTCCAGCTCCGCCCTCACTGCGTCAAACGACTGGGAAAAGAGTGTGGAAGGGAGGGAAGGGAGGCAAGGGGAAGAGAGAATAATCATTTGAGTCCCAGCTGCTGCAGCGCTACCGTGTCCTGCGGTAGTTGCTCCAGCTCCGCCCTCACTGCGTCAAACGACTGGGATAAGGGTGTGGAAGGGAGTGAAGGGAGGCGGGGGGAAGAGAGAGTGGTGCACTGTGCATGCCCAGCTGCTGCAGGGCCGCCGTGCCACTCGGTAATTGCTCTAGCTCCGCCCTCACTCCGTCAAACGACTGTCAAAGGGAGTGGGGAGCAAGGGGAAGACAGAGCTGCTTTTTCTATGAAGAACCCTGACAGGAACCCAGATGACCCTGACAAGCCCATGCCCTCTACGTCCCGTCTCTCGCATGAAATGAAATGAAACCATCGGTTCCTCAAACTCATTGACCCACACGGCCAAGCTTACATCAAGCACACGGCACCCACCTCCAGGTAAGCTCTTGGGGTCCAGCATCTCAGCGTGGTCGAACTTTGGGCGACACGCCATGAACCCTGACAGGGACCTGGACGATCCCGGCAGAAAACAGGCCAAACACGCCCGTCCCCTACACATACCCCTCGCTACCACACACATACAATCACCCCCCCCAGACCCTCATTTTCCACCCAGCTGCACCCACCTCGAGGGATAACGTGGAATCCAGCATCTCAGCACGGTCGTTCCTGAGGCGAGACACTATGAACCCCGACAGGAACCCGGGCAACCCCGACATGCCCATGCCATCCGCATCTCCTTCTCCCCACACACAAACACCCACCATCAGTCCCTCCCAACTCCATTCTCCTCAACCCCGCCGCACCCACCTCGAGGTAAAATCTGGGGTCCAGCATCTTAGTATGGCCGTTCCTGGTGCAAGACGCTATGAAGCCTGACAGGAACCCGGGCGACCCCAACATGCGCCCCCCCCTCTTTGCCACACACAACCAACTGCACCCACCTCGAGGTAGAACTTGGGGTCCATCATCTCAGCGCGGTCATTCTTGGGACGAGACGCTATGAACCCCGACAGGAACCCAGGCGACCCTGACATGCCCATCCCCTCCACTCCCATCAGCGCCCGCTTCCCCACCATCACCGGGGTTCTTGTCTGCAAATCCTCCTCTGACACGTCAGACAGGGCAGCAGCTGCCACGTCAGCAACGGAGGGGGATGACTCTGAGTCATACCCGGATGAGTGACCCGGACTGGGGTAACGAGGGTCGGGGGATGGAGAGGAGTAAGCAGCCATGCGGCTGCGAAAAGCAGGAGGGGCGGTCATGGGAGTACGGCTACCCATTCCCATTCCTACTCCTCCTCCTCCTGCTGCTCCTGAACCGAATTGTGCTCCTGAGGATGATGGCACCGGGGATCCTGACCCTTCGTCCCCAGAGGCGAGTAGAGTTAACTGGTTAAACGAGGAGGAGGATGAGGAGGTAGCACCAGAGGGGCCAAGCCCGAATGCTCTGCCCCCAGACCTGGGGTTGGGGCTAGCATTGCGCAGAGGGGATTGGAAGCGAGGCGGGGAGGCAGGCGCGAGCAGGATCTGGGAGGGGGATCCTAGAGGGCGATCGGGAGACGCGTCGGAGTAGTCGAGGGTGCGCTGAGTGCGGGATGCGCCGCTGTTGCCGCTGCTGCTGGCACCCGCGCCTTTGGCGCCAAGCCCGCTCACACCCCTGACCCAATCCCTGTCCCTGTCTCTGTCTCTATCATACTCCCTATTTCCCCCTCTGTCTCTGTCTCTGTCCCTGTCCCCGTACCCATTCGCATTGCCTCCTCGCGACAGGAAGCTGCTAGGACTTCCTGTGCGATTTGAAAGATCCTGATTGGAATCGTTCCTGCTGCCGGGACGCAATGTGTCCAGCTGCTTGAAGCGTGAAGAGGGGAAGAGGGGGAGGGCGAGGGGGGATGAGGGGGTGTGGAGAGGCGGAAAAAACAAGGCATAGATCAATCAAGATATGAAGACAAACATGCATTAGGTGAAAATTGGCAAGCTAAGTGCACTGACGGATGTCTGACCCAATGAGGGATTCGAAAACAGGGAGTTTGTGATGATTCGGATCACGTTTCCTTCGCTATCAAGCTATCAGCAAATTGAGACGAAAGGAAGGGGGTTGAAAGGATCGTACGACGGGAGGAGACGCGGAGTTATCGAGAGGACTGGACATGATTCGATTTGACGCCGTCCGAATCATGCTTTCCGCGAATCTTCTGACTTCATCCATGACTGGCAGACTAGGTCAGAGCTGTCAACGGGAATCAACGAGTCAGAGCAAGGATGCCGGACTGGGTCCTAACTTCCGACACCCTAAGTGTGCGTTCGGCACCACTTGCAGAGCCTGCGTGCGACTGCTCATTCCAGGATTCACGCGCGGTAGGTTCAATTTTTACGCGAGATAGCAGGGGAAACTTGCGAAACCGTGTGCAAGATCATGCCTTCGAATCTCAGCGTCGCATCGGCACAATGTAAACGATCCGTGTCACGCGCTATCTCATTGCACCACTAAGCTAACGGAAAATTGCCCATTAGAAGGGAGCCAGAATGTTAGTAGAGTCTATGCGCGAAGCGAGGCTGGACGAACCGACCAGCCGCTAATGGCGAATCATCGCGTCCATAATACCAGCACCAGGCTGGCTCTGCCGATGCAAAATCGCTGACAAAAATTGACGACCTCAACCTGGGCCTGATTAGCACAGGGAAGGTGATTCTTAACTTTAGGGCGTGTAACTTTTGCCCGGCCGACGGTCCGGACGGCGTGCGAAAACTTTCGTCAATGCTCGCATGCTCTCCAATTCGATAACGGGCTCAAACCGTCCGGACCGTGAGCTGGATACCCTTTTCGCATGCCGTCCGTACCGAGTGGTCCTGGCAAAAGATACACGCCCTCAGTACTGAAGGCAGGAGGTACAGACCGTACCAATCTGACCGACCAACACAAACCTGAGGTTCAAGCTAGCACCCGTGTGATGGTAATGTAGACCTACCGCGCCCAACCACTAGAAATCGCCCAGCAATCTCGAAGCTCTGGTTGGCGCTGTGACGACACTCCTGGGGTGGACCTCGAGTTGTCGCCATGTAAGCTGCCATCACTATTATTTCACTTACTGAGGAAAAAGGTTACACGCACATCTTATGAGACTTTATCATTCATGTTTATTGATTTTGGATCTCAGACCAAACTGCCTCCAATCGTTTCCTTATGCCAGACTTCATTAGGATTGAATCCTCTTCCAATGTTTGCATGAACTTCCAAAAATCGACGCCACCATCCTGCAACATAGAAACAAAAAATGGTATGAGAATTTCAATCACCACAGAGCACGTGATGTAATCAAATGCTATCTACACCATCCATCCAGTGACCATCCACATAGGTTTATCATTGTACTCACTGCGGGTGGGTGAAAGCGGAGGTCGTCCCATGTCTTGCCGTGTGGCACATTCATGCGCAACGATACCTGACAAGACAACCGAAGGGAAATGTAAGTCCAACACATTTTGAGGCACAAGTTGCAGCAGGGAGCCCAGAGAGAATGGGAGAGGGGAGTGGTTGGTGGATGGGCCGTGCGTAAGGCAGGTAAGAGGGATGATTGTTTTAAGAAAGGTGCTCACCAGTTCCTTTGATTGGATGATTGAGTCTCTGCTGGCTATTACTGCCTGCACACACGCATGCACGCACGTGCATGCACACACACGCAAGATGCAACAGAGAATTATGATGTCAGTCAACAAAGCACAGTTGACCGCATCAAGCAGATGACAGTGTTTAGGGTTTTAGATAAGGACACGGGACCCCTAATCCACCAGTGGATAAAGTCGTAAAGGTTTCGCAGGCGCCGATTGGGATTCCCTCAACGCATGCCAACCACTCAAGAGGAATAATCCACGGGAGCACAGAAACGCCCCCAGTGGCTCACCTCTCGTCCCCTCTTGTCCAATATCTGCTCTGGCCGCTCCAGTATTTGCTCCACTGACCCTGCAATGCAGCATGACATGACAACACGATTACGAAGGAACATGACAGATTATGGTTGGAATGGGGCGATCCCACAATGCCAAGATTGTGAAAACACATCATGGCAAAAATGACAAAGCATTTGCGCTTGAAGCAAGCAGTCATGAGCAGTGGGTTTAGCTGTCATGAGCGCTGCTTTCAAGAGAGATCAACATCTGATGCAGCATCACGTCTCTGCCTCTATTCTGCAGCTATCTATCCCAACATCCTTAAAGGCAACACCCACCGTATTTGCGGACAAGCTTGGGTGCGTTCTTGCGGCCAATGCCACGCGCCCCTGGGAAATTAAAGAATAGAAGGGGAGGGAACGACAGGGAAGCAAACACGAATTGCCAGTGCCCACGCCACACATGAATGAGTGTTGCACATTTGGTTTTTTTTTTAGAGTACTATCCGCATGCCATATTACACTCAACATTGCTCTCCGGACACCAGGAGAATCTCCAACTGCACTTTCTTGCATTAACAAACACCTCCAAGAAAGCTCTTCAGATCCCCAGCACGAACCAGGAATGTTGTCGCTGATGTCACCCATGAGGGCGAGGACGTCAGCAAAGAGTGGAGGATCCACGTCGCCCCAGTCCCTCCGAAAGTCCTCCTCTGCGTACGTGTAGAAGTGCGACGTGGGGTATCGCGGGTTGCCTCGCCTGTTCAAAGGGGTAAAGAAAGGGAGGGTTGGAGGCGAGGGCACATGTTGCCCCAGTCCAGACCCTTTGAAAGTCCTCCTCCGCGTACGTGTAGAAGTGCGACATGGGGTAGCGCAGACTGCCACGCCTGTGTTGGGAAGGGGGTATGGGAGGGGCGAAAAGGGTGAAGGGGTGGAGATGAAGAGTGGGGTGCGTGCGTGTGGTGGTGTGAGAGTGGTGTGGCCAAAAAGATCTCACCAAAGGCCTGATTTGATTCAACATAAGATCCAACAGATATAATATGGCCTGAACTGAACGAACATATCGGGAAGCAAAGTGACCAAAACGGGGAGAGCGGGAAGGGGGGAATGGGGAGGAAGCAGGGACGAATGGGAGAATGAGCTGGAAAGAGGGGAAAAGGGCACTGACTTGGGGCGCTGCGTGGGTCGCAGCATCTTGAGGTTTGGGGACAGCAGCTGGAAGAAATCCTTGTCTGGCGATGCTATGCGCACCTGGTAAAAGAGGGAGCAGAGAGGGGGAGGAGAGTGTTGGGAGAGGGGAAGGGAGGAGGGAGGGGTGTGGTGGGTGGGGATTGAGAGGCGGGAGGTGGGGGGAATAGTGGGGGCTAAGACAGGGGATCAATGATTGTGCTGCGAGATATCTCACGAGCAGCTCAAAAAGGTGTTTCTCGGGAAATGCTATGTGAACCTGAATAGAGGGGGAGGAGGCTGCGGGCCGAAAGAAGCAGGCAGGGCTGGAGGGCATGAGTGCTCATAGGAGGAGGAGCAAAGTGGTGTGTGTCTGTCTGAGGTGTCTCTGAAACAGGAAAAGGGCCCTTGCATGCATCCTCTGTACATGCATCCATCCTTGTTGCATGCATGTATGCTCCACGCGTCATTCAACTCAAACTACCCTCACCCCTCAACCTTACCTGCAGCTACTGGTCTTTCCTGCTCTATCGCTCACCTCACCTCGCCTGCATGAGTTTTGAGGCGCTTAGAATATCTTTCCTGCACTCCCTTCCTCACCTCACCTCGCCTGCATGCGTCAAAGCAGTAAGCCCACCTTCATGCCATTCTCGAGTGCCTCTTTTGCGAGAGTTGCAATAACATCATCCGCCTCCACCCCGGAGATCTGCAAGTAACGATGCACACACAACACCACACGGCAAAGGCACCATCACACCAAGGCAGCGTGGCAGGATCAATCACCGTGCCTCTGTTGCGAGAGTGGCAATCACATCATCCGCCTCGACTACGGATATCTGCAGGCAAGGCGACGCACACAGCAGTACAGGGCACCCACGCACACAAGGGCACACACATATGCACACAGGCAACACGCACACAAGGGCACACACATATGCACACAGGCAACACACACACAAGGGCACACACATATGCACACAGGCAACACACACACAAGGGCACACACATATGCACACAGGCAACACACACACAAGGGCACACACATATGCACACAGGCAACACACACACATACACAGCCAAAGGAAACCAAGGCACCATGGCAGCACATCATTCACGCCTGGCACTCACCGCAAAGGAGGGCAGCTCGAGGGCGCGGAGGGCGGCCTGCATGAGCTCCATGGCACGTGCCACAGCGTCAGGGCGAGGTGGGCGCGTGCTCTTGTAGCCCTGGAAGGACTCGTGGCGGAACGTGGGGTCTGCGTTGGGAAGAGAGGGAACAAGGCGGGAGAGGGAGTGTTGGTTGATAAAGGAACGCTGACTTATGATGCGATGCTCTTGAAGCCCTGGAAGGACTCGTGGCAAACGTGCAGTGTGTGTGGAGAGGGGACGGGGAAAGAGGGGGTGAAGAGAGAGAGAGAGAGCAAGGGGTTGAGAGATAAGGAGGAAAGCCAAGAGGAAAGCCAGGAGGAAAGCCAGGAGGAAAGCCAGGAGGAAAGCCAGGAGGAAGCAAGATGATGGATAATGGCTAACTGACCTCCCCTCCATGGTGGAATTCGGAAAGCCTTAAGTATGAGATTTGATCAAGTTGCGCGGTGGAATGGAAAGAGTACATGCACAATGCACTTGACACTTTGTGCTACGCTGGTTGGTTAAATTTGAGGCGCCTCAAAGGTGGTTGACTCACCCCCATGGTCGAACACCAGCTGGGCAGAGCAGTGGAGAAGAGGAGGAGAGACAGCGAGGCGCAGGCAGGGAGCCACGAACAGGCAGGCACAAGAGGGGAAGATGAAGTGAGGAAGAGGGTAAACGGGAGAAAAAAAACAAAACAAAACAAAAATTGGAAATGCCGTGCTAGGATCATTTCATAATCAGGCACACAGGAGATGTGGCATGAGAAGTTGGAAGCAGGCTGAGGAATGGTGCGTGCAGAGTGCTCTTTGTGTACGTTCTCTCCCTTCCCAAGTATGCGATATCATGCTCTCATGGTACTGTCACATCCCACACTGTCACACACACCCTCCCTGTGTCAGACAACGCCACATCACACTCACTGCAACGTGTGTTGGGAGCATCGCTAAAAGGTTGACAATCTGATGCCACGTTGCCACCACGAGTCATGCAGAGAGCCACATGAAGAGAAGCACACGAAGACAAGACAGGCACATGGAACAGACAAAGCAGGTGCGAAAGGAAGGGAGGTCAGAGGAGAAAGGAGGACGAGAGGGACGGGTGGCATATGGCAGGCTTAAAAAAAAAAAAAAAACAAAAAAAAGGGAGGGGTGGGCTATGGGAGGGAGGCAAGACTCAACTGACGCTGAGGCTGTGCTTGCTGCCTCACAAGCCGAAGGCCAGTCAAACGCCAGAGGAGACCAAGTGTCAAAAAAATACCCACCCACCTGCTGCTGTCCGAAGCATGGGATAGCAACACGCACACGCACCTGCTCAAAGGACTTGAAGAGTGTGCCCATGACGTCCTCGTCATTCCAGAGCATGAATCTTAAGCCCTTGGGAGCACGCATGCACCTGCAGAAACGACTTGCATTGCAACAAAAAACACGCACCTGCTCGAAGGACTTGAAGAGTGTGCCCATGACGTCCTCGTCATTCCAGAGCATGAATCTTAAGCCCTTGGGAGCACGCATGCACCTGCAGAAACGACTTGCATTGCAACAAAAAACACGCACCTGCTCGAAGGACTTGAAGAGTGTGCCCATGACGTCCTCGTCGTGTGCGAAGGTGTTGTAACCACTGTGGTGTAACCGCGCTGCGAGACAAACCAGCATGCAAAAGAGAACACGACAAAAGAGAACACGACAAAAGAGAACCATACGCGATCAGTTACAGTTGAAGAACAGGAATGGGAGAGAGCGAAGAGAAGAGGAACGAGGCAGAGTAAACAGGAATGAGGCAGAGTAAACAGGAATGAGGAAGAGGGAATAGGCACGGGTTACATACAGGAAGGCAAGACAGAGGACAAGCGAGTAACCATCACCTGGTGCTTGGTGGTATTATATACAGTACACTCATAAACCACCTCAGAGCAGCGAGCTCCCAATACCTTGTGGAGCCAGGCACACTGAAACTGCTTTTAAAATTTGCTTTTGATAAAGTTAACTCGGGAATATCAGACTCGCCTGATATCTGGTGGTAAGCCCGGTACACCACAGGATGGCCATCGATCAATAACAGCCGTCCGTTGTCCTCCTGCCAGCTCTCCATCGCGCTTGGCTCGTGCTCGTCTATCAACGTCTCCTGCTCCTCGATGATCTCCTCTTGCTCTACCCTTATTTCTCGCTGCAGCACTAAATTGGTTCGTCCTAACGCCACTCCATTCATATCGTGAGCCCCATCCACCGTTTCAAGTGAGATAGGTTCGTTTTGTCCCGGCGTTTCTGACAGATAGTCCACGTCAGTCATGGCATCGCTGCCAGCTCGGACAACGACGCTGTCGATCCGACCGACGCGGCTAACCCTAACGGTAACGGGCGACGACGACGGCGACGACGCGGAGGCCAAGGAGCGAAGCGAACCGAGAGAGCAAGAACATGAAGTCGCGGTGATGAAGTGTTTCCTTGAATCAGCATGCGACGCTTGACCGGGTAATCGAGTCAAACACGCTGTGGACGCGTCTTCGTGTCGAAAAAACCTGGAATGTCGAGGGTAAAAAGTGACGATGCCAGCGTGCGGCCTTATAAGTGGTAACGCGAGGGGGTTCGCCATGGCGAATTCGTTCGAATTCGTGCAAATCTTCGAGCTACCGAAGGAAGTGACGGAAAGATTGCGCAAGGAAAGACGAAGGACGCGCTGCAGCAAGGAGGATCGACGAGGTCTGAGCGCGAGGGGACGAGGCGTAGTGACGCCTCTAGCCAGCATGGCTGGCGTCACGGAAAAGCTTTTGTCTTGTTGAAATGAAATGAAAGAGCTGGGGAAAGCAGAAGAGTTGATTTGGGGTGGGAACGTACATCAGTGTGGCATGGGGGTGGCTTGTGGATTTGTATCAGCGAACCATTGTGGGTTTGGATTGATCAATCGAGGGTTACTCTTCTGAAACTGGATCTCTGAAGCGAATTGACGAAATCAGATTGGAATTCGCGAAACATTACGAGATGCGTAGCCCCGAATCATGACCCAGCTGAGTGGGAAGGAATGTGGGCCGAACTGGCATCACGAAAGGCTTTATCGCGTATGCAAGGTTACCAGCAGATACCAAGCGAGCCTCAGTTTTCAGATTATGAAGGGCACACTTGGGCGCTCAAGGTGGGTGAATTCTACGTACGGGCAATCCGACAGAGCTCGCGTCTTTCCGTTCTGGCACGTTAACTTGGCATACTAGCTGAACCCGTGCTTCCGAGACGCTTAACGAGCAGTCAGGTGTCGGCGCTGTCCTTTCCTCTTGGCCGAAGCTGTTTGCGGTTTGGCGTCGGCAGCCCGTTGTCTCTGCTATTAGTCCGCAGCCCACCCGTAGTCCTTCTACGAAGCCGGTCTCTGTTACCAGTCAGTTCGCGAGTCCGTAGGTTTGCTTGACAACAATCTCAATATCAGTAGAGCATCAAAGGCTTTTAGGTGACTGTGTTCGTGTATCTTGTGAGGTGACCCTAAGTTCTCATAGTCATTCCTCGGCTCCCCAAAGCTCCTTTCAGGCCTCTCCGCTCCTGTCCTCTCCTCCATTCCTCCTCTTCTCCTCTCCGCTCCTCAACCGCTCCTGTCCTGTACTGTCCTCTCCACTCCTCTCCACTCCTCTCTTCTCCTCTCCTCTCCACTCCTCTCCACTCCTCTCCACTCCTCTCTTCTCCTCTCTTCTCCTCTCTTCTCCTCTCCTCTCCTCTCCTCTCCTCTCCTCTCCTCTCCTCTCCTCTCCTCTCCTCTCCTCTCCTCTCCTCTCCTCTCCTCTCCTCTCCTCTCCTCTCCTCTCCTCTCCTCTCCTCTCCTCTCCTGTAACACCTCGCTACCCACTGGGTCAAAACGAGGGTGTTATTTGGCGCAGCGGATTGCCCTTAACACTAGCCCACAGGCGTTACACTCGTCCCCCCCTGGCGCCAACGTCCCCGTTGGCTCTTTACTTCAGGGAGTCGGCCCCCTGCTGCTGGGACCTAGATTTCGCAGTGCTGCTAGCTGCGACTTCGCTGGTTGCTCAGGCCAGCGGAGGATCGTTCGCTGGGTTCGAGCTGGTTACAACCACACTCCAGTTCTCGCTGAAGGCGGAAAGTGTGGTCCAGCCGGGATTCGAACCCTAGGCTCTGATTCCAAATGTAACACCTCGCTACCCACTGGGTCAAAACGAGGGTGTTATTTGGCGCAGCGGATTGCCCTTAACACTAGCCCACAGGCGTTACATCTCCTCTCCTCTCCTCTCCTCTCCTCTCCTCTCCTCTTCTCTCCTCTCCTCTCCTCTCCTCTCCTCTCTTCTCCTCTCCTCTCCTCTCCTCTCACCTCCTCTCCTCTCCTCTCCTCTCCTCTCCTCTCCTCTCCTCTCCTCTCCTCTCTTCTCCTCTCCTCTCCTCTCCTCTCCTCTCCTCTCCTCTCCTCTCCTCTCCTCTCCTCTCTACTCCTCTCTTCTCCTCTCCTCTTCTCTCCTCTTTCAGCCAGAAATGAAGCGTAGCGAGTGGCGCGTGAGGGCGCGTTCAGGAGGGAGCACGCCAGCCGCGGGGACATCCGTAGCGGGGAAGGCGCTGTCGTGGCAGGATAAGGAGGTGTACCGAACGTTCTGGAAGTACGGGCAGCACACGATTGGGCTGCTGCAGGGTGTGTTGGCCACGATCGACCTGAGGATCAACCACAGGGTCGTTCAGGCCACCAAGGTGCGAAACGGGTGAATACCACTCGAGTGAATTCTGACGAGGTGACTCTTGAGTCTGTCTACTCGAGGTCACACAATTTGGGCTGTTGCGGGGTGTGCTGGTCACACTCGACCTCACGATTGACCTGAGAGTAGTCCAGGCCACCAAGGTGCGACATGGGTGAACATTTTAGAATCATTGAACGTGACGGCAATGATATGTGGTATGCACACACACACACACACACACACGCACACACACACACACGCACACACACACACACACACACACGCGCGCGCGCGCACACACACACACGCGCGCACGCACGCATGCGCGCACGCACGCGCGCACGCACGCACGCACGCACGCACGCACGCACGCACACCAAATAAATAGTTACCCCCCCCCCCCCCCCCCCCCTCCAATTTCCTTCGCCCCTTTGCGCCCTCCCCCGCCCATCATCCTGTCCTGGTTCTTTCCCCTCACTCTCACCCCTGCCTCTTCTCATCATCCAGCCGTTCGACGAATACCCCCCCAACATCCACCGCGCTCTCGAGAGCCTGTTGGAGTATCGCCTGCGCCAGCCGCCCAGGCCGCCCAGAGCAAGCGACCCTGTTGCTCCGGGCCACAACCGGACGAGGAGGATGCAGGGTCGGTGGCCGCGGCGGTTCAAGGAGATCTGCTTCTTTCTGAGCGCAGCTGGGGTGCCGTGCCCGCCTGACTGGCAGCAGCAGGTGGAAGCGGCTACTACCGCTGCTTTGGCCGCTGCTGCTGGCGCTGGTCGCCCCAGGGCTGTTGGGTATGCTGCTGCTGCTGCTGCTGCTGCCGCTGCTACTGCTGCTGCTGCTGGTGCTGGTGCTGGTGCTGCTGTTCGGCTTCCCGGTCAGCCGTTGCGTGGCAGGAAGCGGAAGGCAGAGGGTGTTGTGGAGGGTGTGAGAGGGAGTGTGAGGAAGGGTGTGAGAGGGAGTGTGAGGAAGGGTGTGAGAGGTGGGCTGAGGAGGGGCAGGGGAAGGCGGAGTGGGGAAGAAAGCCAGGAGGAGCGGGACAGAGTTGGTGATAGCTTGGCTGATGCCGGAGTGGTTGATGACAACGGTGGCAATGGTGGTGATGGTGATGATGATGATGATGTTGGAGAGGTGGTTGATGGGGATGCTTCCTGCAAGGGCACGAAGCGTTCCAAGAAGTCTCTGAAGGTGGCTGCTCGGGATGCTGCGCGCAAGGGTTTGAAGAGTTCCGCCCGTGCCAAGCCGGCGGCAGCAGCTGATAAGCCTGAGGGCATGGCAGGGGGTGTAAGAAAGGTTGGTGTTTCCTCTGGTGTTTCCTCTGGTTGTGAGGACAGAATGGCTGGGATGGGCAGTCACAGTAGCGGTCGTCACAGGGTGAAAGTGAGGGAGGGAGGCGGAGATGGGGAGAAAAAGGCTGCTGATGGGGATGGGGAGGGAAAGGCTGCTGGCGGAGATGGGGAGGGGAAGGCTGTTGGGGAAAGGAAAATCGCTGGTGGCGATGGGAAGAGGAAAGCTGCTGGTGGCGATGGAAAGAGGAAAGGCGCTGGTGGCAGGAAGGCTGCTGGTGAGCGGGACTTCTGCAGCACGAAGGCAGGGAGGAGGAGCCGGGCGACAATGCGCTGCTTGGAGCAGTCGACCAGGGAGAGGCTCTGTGAGATTGCCAAGCAGGCAGAGGAGGCGAACAGGCGCGCTGTGGAGGCAAAGAGGGCGCTGGTGGATAAGTACTTGGGTATTTTGAAAGAAAAGCTTGAACAAGGGGTGGGGGAGGAGAGGAGGATGATTGCTGAGGTGGTTGCGAGGGAGGAGGCTAAGCTGAGGCGTTTGGCCGGCTTGCTGTGATTTTGTTGATTCGTTTTTTGGCGGCTATGTGAGATAGGGAGGCAGGCAGATCGGGTTGTGGCGGAGGGCAGGAGGGTGTTGGTGGATAAGTATTAAGTATTATGGTATTTTGAAAGAGAAGCTTGAACAGGGGGTGAAGGAGGAGAGGAGGATGATTGCTGGGGTGGTTGCGAGGGAAGAGGTTAATCTGGCTTGCATGGCTGGCTGCTTGTTTTGATTTGTTCTCATTGGCTACCGTTTGTTTTTTCATTGATTGCAAAAAAGCGAGTGAGCACAGAATCAGTGGCCTGGTTAGGGTCTGGCGACTGCTTGGTTGTATGCAGGGAAGCTGCATGATACCTAATGAGGTGTCGCCTCCTTATACCGTAGCTCTACGTTAACAGTTAGATTAGGAGTGATCTGCTGACAAGTTGCATTTGTGTAAATAGGTTTTTGGGCACCTCTATCTACACCTGTTGCTTGAGCAATAGTTCTGATAACGAGAGAAGCGGACTAGGCAGGTTGAGGTGCGGTACAGTGCAGTGCATATGATTTTATGGATGAAACTGTCGGTTGTGGAGAATCCGTGTGATAGGGGCTGGAGAGGGAGTCGCTTTCTGTAACTGGGTCTCCGAAGCGTGAGTGGGATTCTCGTTTGAGGTGCGTCAGGCACTACAAGATGCGTCGCCACGAATCACAACCCAGTAGAACTGTAAGGAAATCGGGGCGAACAGGCATCGCGAAAATTTTCTAGCAGTAGAAGGCAAGCAGCCTTGGGTTCTGGTGGTGGAGCTCACTCGAGGTGTTGGCAGCAACTTGGTTGCATTGCATGCAAGAAAGAACACCTGCTGCATCAGAACTTCCAACAGAAGGCCTTGAATTACCTGAAATTCGGTTTAGTGGTGAGCGTTCATGACGGGCAATCCAAAAGAGCTCTCGTCATTCCGTCTTGCTGCCAGTTATTGATACATATTCATTCGGCATACTAACTGAACTCGGGTTGCGATGGTGGTTCCTGTGGCATTCTAGCTTAATCCAGGACGAAGCCACAAAGCGTTATCACGGACGTGCTTTGACGACACGCTCAGCGAACAGCGTTGTGTCGGCGCTGTCTTTTCTTCAAGCCCGTAACCGTTCACGGTTTGACGTCGCCAGTCGTTGTTTCTGTCACGCCCAGCCGTAGAACTCTCAACGAAGCCGGTTTATCTGTTACCATCAGGCAGTTCGCGAGTTCGTGGTTGTGCATCGCAAAATCTCAATCTCCGGAAGCCGTAAAAAAACTTGAAGGTAATGATGTCTTTCTTCCTTTGAAGGTGATGCTAATTCTTATAGTCATTCCTAGGCTCCTCAATGTCCCATTCAGTCCTCTCGGCTCTCGTCCTTTCCTCTCCTCTCCTCTCCTCTCCTCTCCTCTCCTCCCCTCTCCCATCCTCTCTCCCATCTTCAGCCAGCAATGAAGCGCAGCGAATGGCGCGTGAGGGCGCATTCGGGAGGGAGCACGCCAGCCGCGGACGGAGCACCGGGGAAATCCGAAGCGGGGCACGCGCTGACGTGGCAGGACGAGGAGGTGTACCAAATGTTACGGAAGTACGGGCGGTACGCGATTGGCCTGATGGAGGGTGTGCTGGCCACGATCGACGTGAAGCTCAACGAGAGAATTGTCCAGGCCACCAAAGTATGAAGCGGGTGAATATATCGGAAATTGTTAATTTGACAGGGACTCACACGATTGGCCTACTGCAGGGTGTGCTGGGCATGATTGTTCTCAAGATTAACCACAGTTTCGTTCAGGCCACCAAGGTATGAAACGGGTGAATGTATCGGAAATTGTTAATCTGACAGGGATTCGCACGATTGGGCCGTGTTTTGAGTCGACTCAAAACACAGCTCAATAAGAGAATCGTCCAGGCCACCAAGGTATGAAACGGGTGATTATGTCGGAAATTATTAACGTGTTAACGTGACAGTGAGCACACGATTGGGCTGTTGCAGGGTGTGCTTGGCACGATTGATCTTAATATCAACCACAGATTCGTTCAGGCCACCAAGGTGCGAGGTGGGTGATTTTAAGGGAATCAGTAAATGTGACGGGGTGACTCTTGCGTTGACTCAAAAGGCAGACGATTGGCGTGCTGCTGGGTGTGCTGAGGCAACAGGGCACACACAAAAAAAAAAAAAAAAAAAAAACTACGCACTCCTCCCCCCTCCCCACCCCCACATACCCCACCTTCCTTGTTTTACTAATATCGAAACTGCCACCCATTTCCTTGTTCTACCCCCACCTCTTTCCTCTTCCCCTTCACCCCCCTTCCAGCCTGTCAGCGAGTACCCCCCAACATCCTCCGTGCTCTCAAGAGCCTGAAGGAGTACCGCCGCCAGCAGCAGCCACATGATAACAAGTTTGTTGTGAGACATCTGAAAACATATCCTTCTTTCCTCCCCCCCCCCCTTTCCGCCCCCCCTCTTTCCACTTCCACTTCACCCCTTGCAGCCTGTCAGCGAGTACCCCTCCAACATCATCTGTGCCCTCGAGAGCCTGAAGGAGTACCGTCGCCAGAGGCAGCTCAGCCTCAGGCTGCCCAGGGCCAGCAGCAACAGCGCTGCTCCGGTCGGCAAACGGAGGAGCAAACTGCAGGGGCGGTGGCCGCGGCGGTTCAAGGAGATCTGCTTCTTTCTGGGTGCAGCGGGGGTGCCGTATCCCCCGGACTGGCAGCAGCAGGTGGAAGCGGCTACTGCTGCTGCTCTGGCCGCTGCTGGTCCTCGCCGTCGCAGGGCTGCTAGGTCTGCTGTTTCCGCCGCTGGTGCTGCTGGTGCTGCTGCTGCTGGTGCTGCTGCTGCTGCTGGTGCTGCTGCTGGTGGTGGTGGTGGTGCTGCTGCTGCTGCTGTTCAGCATCCCAGTCAACCCTTTCGTGGCAGGAAACGGAAGGCAGAGGGTGCAGTGGGGGATGTAAGGGAGGGTGCGAGGAGGGGCAGGGGAAGGCGGGGTGGGGAAGAAAGGCTCGAGGAGCAGAGCTTGGCTGATGGCAGAGGGGTTGATAATGGTGATGGTGATGATGATGATGATGTTGGAGAGGTGGTTGATGGGGATGCTTCATGTAAGGGTTTGAAGCGTTCGAGGACGACTCAAAAGGTGGCTGGTAGGGGTGCTGCGTGCAAGGGTTTGAAGACGCGCAGGGGTTTGAAGAGCTCCACCCGCGGCAAGCCGACGGTGGCAGCTGATATGCCCATGGGCGTGGCACGAGACATAAAGGATGTTGGTGCTTCTGTTGGTGTTTCCGGCGGTGTTTCCCGTGGTATTTCGTCTGGTCGTGAGAACAGAGTGGCTGGGATGGACAGTCATAGGAGCGATCATCGCAGGGTGAAAGTGAGGGAGGGAGGTGGGGATGGGGTTCATAAGGCCGCTGACAGGAATGGGGAGGGAAAGGCTGCTGGGGACAGGAAGGCTGCTGGTGGCAATGGGAAGAGGAAGGCTGTTGGGGAGAGGAAAATCGCTGGTGGCGATGGGAAGAGGAAGGCTGCTGGTGAGCGGGACTTCTGCAGCACGAAGGCAGGGAGGAGGAGCCGGGCGACCATGCGCTGCTTGGAGCAGTCGACCAGGGAGAGGCTCTGTGAGATTGCCAAGCAGGCAGAGGAGGCGAATAGGCGCGCTGTGGAGGCAAAGAGGGCGCTGGTGGATAAGTACTTGGGTATTTTGAAGGAAAAGCTTGAACAGGGGGTGGAGGAGGAGAGGAGGATGATTGCTGAGGTGGTTGCGAGGGAAGAGGCTAAGCTGGCACGCATTGCTGGCTTGCTGTGATTTTGTAAATTCAATTTTAGAAGGGGAGCGGCTATGTGAGTTGGATGCACGCAGAGGAGGCGGATCGGGGTGCGGTGGAGGGCAAGGGGGCGTTTGTGAAAACGTACTTGGTGTTTGGAAGAGGCGCTTGAACGGCGGGTGGAGGAGGAGAGAAGGATGCTTGCTGAGGTGGCTGCAAGGGAAGAGGCTAAGCTGGCGCGCATGGTTGGCTGCTTGCTGCGACTGGTTTGGCGTTTGATCGACCGCAAGGAGAGTGAGCTGAGCACGGCGGACTGTACAACAAGGCATTCAGTGCTGACCTTCATGATCAGTCTAGTCTATGTGTTACAGTTATTAGGGGTAAAGTGGTAGTTGCTTGTATTTGTGTACATTGTGTCATGGACAGTCAGTTGACATGACACCTGTACCAAAGTCCTAATTACAGCTGGTGCTTTGACTGGCTGGCAGGGCTCATGTTCTGCTTGTCAGAATCCCAGCCACTAACCTCTTAGAATCTAGGCACCAATGAGTTGACTATCGAGAGCATGGTACAAGGAGAAAACCCTAAGGGGTTGTACCCCACATTGTCTACCCCACTACAGCCTACCCACAAATGTAACATATGCATATCTTTGACATGTTGGAAACAACAAGTCATAAGCGCCTCTGTCGTGTCGAAACACCGCACGAGAAGCGAATTAAATCATAACGAGGCATCCGCGAGTCAACCCTCGGAGGTTGAGAGGTTGCTGGAGGTTACGCGAAAGTCAAAGGTCAGCGACCTTTGTCCTGACAAGAACAACGCGACAGTAAGGACACACAACTGACTCACTACAGAGCAGTTGCCCGAGTCGTCACTGTATCGAACCGCAACAGCAACAGTAAAGTAGTTATAACTATACCTCTTCATATTCCTTGTATCCTTATATAAGTGCCTGTATTCTCTTGTTTTAATTAACTTACTTTGCCCTCACATACCAGCGCAAGGTGGTTCAAGATCTCTTCATTAACGCTTCCGCTATTACAATTTGTTACGAATAGTAACATGTAATTGTTACTGAGCACTCCTCACCGCAGCAAAGAGAAGTACGCAGTATCGAAGCAAGAAAGCGAACCGTCAGACAGTTGGAGTTTGACTCGAAGTGTCAGACAGTTGGGACGCATCTGGACCGTCGGAGGCAGACGGCATCGGACAGCTGCAGGCAGGATGTTCTTGGCGGGAACAGTTACGAAACTGTACGCGCCGCACGGTTGAATGTATTTGAATAAGGGAATGTACCCCTTAGAGTACATGACTAGCTAGGTCGTTTCGTCTTCCCTGTACTCATATTTATACTCGCTGTATTTGCATGTCTTAATTATCTCAAGCATTTACATTCACTCTGCTATTGAGATCACGGGCCCACCAACCAACTTTTCCCTGTGTGCGAACCTTCCCGAGTAGATCCTGGTTAGCGATCATTCTCTGATCGTAGCATGGTATGAGAGCGGCTCGGGAATCCTTCGCAACACCACTCCCGAAAATTGCGACACTCGGAAAGTGGCGACCGGCACACGCTCGCGTGTGAGAATGGCCGGAGGATCTGGTGGTCAGACTAATCTGACGGCTGAAGCACGCACCAATCCGGCTGCGACAAGCGAGGAAACGACTACGATCGGCACCGAAGTCCTCGCGTAACTTCTTCAGCGACTCACCAGTCTGGAGCAAGGGCTCCAAACATTGCGGAACGGCGATGCGGGAACATCCTCGCAACCAACCCAACCGGGCCCAACTGGGCAGAACACCGTCCCGCAAACTTTCTCCCTCGACACAAATGGCTCAACCCCCAAGGCTCCCCGTCCCAGTGAAGAGGCAATTCTCTCAGCTCAATCAAAGTTTCTGAGCATATCAAAAATAAAGACAAGTTCCAGCTTTGACGGCAGAGACTTCTATACCTGGAGCTTCGAATTGGAGCTCCTGCTGCAGAACGCCCAAATCTTCCACTACTTCGACGGGAGCTACGCCGAGCCTGCCGAGGACACCGACGACGCCAAGGCGAGGTATTACAACGAATCACTGATGGCGTACGGGGTGCTCCTGCGGAATATGTCCCCGGCGGAGCAGCTGAACATCCGTTCGTACAAAACGACAGCTGCTCCAGCCCTCAACGCCTGGCGACACCTGACAGGAGTGTATCAGCCCAAGGACTCTGTCTCGTCGAGCCGACTGCTCCAGGAACTCCTGGAAACCAAGATGATCTCAGGGGAGAAGGTCAACACTTACCTTAATCGCTGTCGGAGCCTTCGCGATCAGATCGTGAAGTTGGGAAGCACGATATCTGAAGAAATCTTCGTTAACATCGTGCTTCAAGGGCTCGGCCCTGCAAGGCGCTTCTCCGACAGCAGGGGGTCATCTCGGAGGCCGCCCTTTGCGCCGCCCTTCTCGTCGAACAACGGGATATGGACCAGCAGCGACCAGCGCCACGACGAGAAAGAGAACGGATCGCCTTCTACGCCGACAACAACGAAGAGCGACGTCCGAGGCGCCTCTACTGCAAAATCTGCAGGAACTTCGGGCATCTGGCAGATCGATGCAAGTCCCGATCTCGCCCTCGCCAGACCAATCCGAGCAACTGGTACGACAAGACGTACGAGGCGACGTGCGTCCAGCCCAGGGCTATCAGCCCCCTCCCACGCGCAACCTGAACCCCGCGGTTCAGCATCAGCAGCAGCAGCCTCAACCGACTGCCACAGTACGCAATGTCATGAGCAACATGGCCATGACAGGCGAGTCCCGTCGTCGCCGCGTGCGCTCACCATCACCTGAGCCAGCACCGCACCCCATTGGCGCGTTCTCCAACAACAACCCATTCAGTCCGCGCCATGACTTCACCGACGACGACGACCAGGACTGGAATCTCCCAGTCCCGCTGCTTGAGAGTCCCCCGCACGTGCCAGACATGCGGGTGGCGCCACTTGATTGGCTCTCGCGCGAGCAATTTCTGAAGTTCGATACCCCGCACATCGTCACGCCGCGACTGGCGCTGCTCGCACGTGACAACAACAAGCGCTACAACACCTGGTACCTGGACAGCTGCTGCGGCCAGCATATGGTGGGCTCCGAGCGTTACATATCCAACGCCGTCCCCACTCCTACAGTCACTTACGTCACAGTGGCGAACAACACGCGCCTGCGCGCAAACGCGCAAGGCATCGTTGTGCTCAAAGCACGCGGAAGCCGCACGCACATCACACTCAACGATGTGCTGATCGTCCAGAACCTGCGCTTCAACCTCTTGTCCGCCGCACAGCTCATGGATTGCGGCGTAGAACTCAGCACAGATCGCGCGACGCGCGACATTCTGCTGCACTACGAATCGCGCAACTTCCCCCGCAGACAGATCGGACGAGCACACTCCGAAAATGGAGTGTACATCCTGGATTTCGACATTCCCGACTGCAGCGGCGACTCGCACGAGCTAATTGACCTCGTGCCACTGCGATTCGAACACATCCACCGCAGGGACTGGAAGCACCCTGACGGCAGGCCGTGGGTGCCGCATCATCCCCACCCACGCGAAACGGCACTTCACAACCCCGATCCAGATGGAATCTGCAGGGATTGTCACACGCCGACGACCTCGACGAGCGCAATCGCAGGCCGCGGACTCGCCGCCATCGCGGAAGCAGAGCGCAACGCGCCCCCCGATGAAGGGATGTCGCAACTCGAACTCGAAGTCACCACACATGGCGTGTTCGGCACGCCTGAGCACCCCCTCACAGGTCCCCCTTCTCAACATCTTCGAGGGATGCTTCGTGGAACTGGTGTCGGTACCTTCGATGCGCGTGGCTTGGCACGCCCCTACACTCGCGAGGATTTTCTGCAGATTTACCCACATTGGCGCGACCCCACGGCGAAGCTCACCGTGGAACAGGAGGAAGAACTGGCGCGCCGCGAAGCAGAGGAGCTTCGCCAACAAAGCCTCACCGAGGCACGCGGAACGTTCGCTTGCGCCGCATGGGGCGCCGAAGCTGAAGAAAGCGCCACCAATGAAGGGGGGTGGGGAAGCGTCGGCGGACAAGGAACGACTGAGGCTGGCGACTGGGGCAACACAGGCGGAACCTGGGCAACCGCAACCGGCGGATGGGGCGCCGCATCTGGCGCCGACAATAGCGGCTGGGGCACTTCCCGCGAAGAACGAAGGGGGGGAGAGGAAGAAGCCGCGGAGACCGAAGCAGCACCTGCAGTCGTTCCTCTCGGTCGTCCCCCGCGCCGCATTCCCCTCGCACCACCTCCTGCAGACATTCCCCCGCATCGCGACCCGTGGGACACCATTACCTGGGGCAACGAGCCGTCAACCCCGCGTCGCACTATCTACGGACCTGCCCCTGAACCACGCCAACCTACCCTTGTCCCTGGAACCATCCCTGGGACCAACATCCCGCTCTCTGAAATTCGCGACAGAGAGTTCTTGGCGTTGATGCTGACCACCGCGGCAGAAGAAGAAGCAGAAGAAGTGGCAACAGAACCTGCCCCTGTACCTGGCAAAGACCCCGAGGAAGCGCGCGCGCGCTATATGCGCACCTCCGGCTTTCGCGCTGACGATGCACTTTGGCACCAGCGCCTCGGACACCCTTCCCGCGCGACGCTCAAAAACTGCATCGACGCTGGCGTCTTCGCTCCTGGCGCACTCCTGCGCCCTGATGGCTCCGAAGTGAGTGGCGCGACACATCCGCGCAACTGCACCGTCTGCCCCGAAGCTGCGCTGAGCCACCAACCGTTCCCGCTGCTCGAACCTGGAACGAACCGCTACCCCAAGCTGCACAAAGTGTACAGCGATTTCCTTAACGTGCGGAATCGAAGACGAACTCTACACGCTTACCTTCATCGACGCAGGAACACGCTATGTATGGGTCGTGAACGTGGAGACGCGCGACAGAGCCTACGAGGTGTTCCGCCTCTGGCTAGCACATGCGGAGCGGCAATCTGGAAAGAAGCTCAAGATCTGGCAGTCCGACGGCGCGGCAGAATTCAGGAGCAA